TTTAAGGTTGGTTTACATGCTTCTTTTTCTAGAATTTGAGCTTCTTTCTACTCTTCCTAAACTTAGTGTTTAGCACAGCCCTTGGTATTTAGTAGTGTAGGGAAAGAAATTTTCGTCTACTTTTCTAGGTTCTTCTGGCTGGTCTAAGAGTTGAATTGACATGAGGTAGAATAAAAGGAGAAAATCAAACAATGTTTAACAACATGTATACATGAGAGAAACCCAGGAGAACTGAGTAACTCACCAAAATAGCGAAAGTCACCACCTTAAATACTATCTTCTGATAAAGACAAAAGAGAATGTTGAGGGTAATGGTTTGGGACTTCAAATGGGAAGAAGGCGATTCACATGAAGATGGAAAAGCAAACCTTTGGGAAACTGTGAACAGTGATAACAAAATGGAGTAACATATGTCAAGGCTTCTAAAATGGAGCTGGGAGGCCATCAAGGAAATGGGGTTTATGCATGCATACTACATCTCGACCCTGATGAAATGCAACTTTTGAACTCTTCTTCACTGTTGTCATCTTGACTTCCTTTCAAGAAATATACTTACTCCTATAAATAAGAACATTTTGCTTTAGAGATGGCCTTAGCAAACAATCACATATAGCCAAGAAGTAACAGTTGTTGCCAGTACGAATCACAAATTTTGCAAAACAACCCATGTAGCTTATTTCTGTTTGCCTTTATAAACCCTTGCCTTCTTTGCCTTCCTCAGAACACAATTTTGGGTTTCTGTCTGAATGTGTCTCCCTAATTGCACTTCTAATTCTAACTCTAATTCTAATTCTAATTGTCCAAATAAATATCTGCTGTTTAAGTTGGAGTGATTTCTTCTCAGATGACTAAACAAATGTTTGCCTTGCCATGCAGAGACAATGGGACATGGAAAGGACTCTGAGTTCTAGGGCCTGCTGTCTCTCCCAACCAATTAGCCCATATTTTTTGTAGATATCTCTGCTGATATCTCTCTCTTTTACAGACCACTTATCTACATTCTTTTAGGCAGTTAGTGGGGAGATAACAAGAAAAACTTTCTGAGTCTTTTGTTTACTAAAAGTAATCCCCATGTTAAAAAGAGACAATTTGAGGTAACAAATTTTGTTCCTCTTCATTAGACATTGATGGCATTATTACTTAAGAAATAACTGAAACCTAAGGAAAGAGAAATTTGCTTTAAATTGATCTATATTCTAATTTACTTAAACATTTGAGTTGCTTTCTTCTCTATGAAAAATGAGCATTATTTTTCAAACTCGTTAATTTGCTTTGGAGCTTTTGCTTTTACTGGATCTAGGTATTTACAGTTTTCTTTAATTCTGGAAAATTCTCAGTCACTATCTTTTCAAATGTTTCCTCTTCTCATTATGTGTTTTATCTCCTAGTGAAATTCATATTGTGCTTATATTGTATTTCATTTTAGTCTTAATATCTCTTCTTTTTGTCACCAACAGCTCTTTAGCGCTATATTTCACTATAAGAAATTCTTCAGATGTCTAAATTAAAAAATATTTTTAAATTGTTTTCTCTATTTTTTGCTTAATCCATTCAATACTTTTTAATTACTGTGATTAGAGTTTTATTTCTAGAAGCTTAATTTGCAATTAAAAAATCTGCCTGTTATTTTTTAATCATGTCTCTTTTCTGGTATTATTTCCATTTATATCTTTAAGATTTTGAAATATAATTTCCTCTATGTGTGATTTCTTGAGGGCCTAACCAACTGTTTTTTCTGCCAACTTTCCTTCATAATGAATTATTTCTCTGTGTTCTCTAACTTTGGATTGTGGCCTCATATTAGGAAAGCCTTTAGGTATGGAGATCCTTTGCAGCTTGTGTTGAGGGCGGTTGTCTTCAGATTATTTAAATTTCACCAAGTGTCACACAGATATTGCAAACTTAGAATCACCTTTGATCTTAATGAATTGGATTGTGTATTCCAGGATCACGTAAGTAGAATATTTTTGAACTCCTATTTCGGACTTGTGATTAGTAATTCTTAGAATGAGAAACAAATAATCAAGCGAACCAACATTCAGTGAATACACAGACAGACAAACTTCCTCCCCTGTACAGTTGGGTGGATTTATGCTTGGACTAGATGAGAGAGTAGCAGAAGCCTCAGTTGCAACTTGCTCTTTGCTTGTCTGGTCTCAAGGCCTTATCTCCTGATCCAAGTGACCACAATAGCCAAACACTTATGGAATCTGTGAAATGCCTCCTATGGTCAATGTTAGTTCCTGCTTGCCCCTCTGGGTTCCCATTTCTTCTGTGTTATGTTCCCTAGGGGGTTTCCTTTATTTTATTGTGACTACAGCTCTGCATTCAAAAAGAATTAAATGAGATTTTTTTACCTTGAATTTCTGGGTGTTTGTATTATATGTCTTTTCAAGTTGTATAGTGTGCCATCTTGCCAGAAATAGAATTCATAACTGTGTCATATGTTTACACATGGGAATCCAAGGGTCATGTAATAAAAGAATGCTTGAGATTTGAACTTCAGTCAGGGAGGAGGGACTGAGATGAGATTGAGTGGATAGTGAGTATGAGATAATGGAGAGGAGGCCATGGTGACTGAGATGAAGGCAAAGTGGAGAATGACTGTGAAAACATGGAAGGGTGAGAAAGAAGGAGGGAGAAGCAGAGTGGGGAAAGAGAAGAACACATGAGTGGGAATGAACAGGAGCCCATAGACGTAAGACGCATAGAATGTTAGAGCCAAAAGTGTTAGTAGAAAATCCTCAGTTCTTTCCACCCAGTCATTTTATAGATAAAGAGACTGAGCCCAGAATGCTGATATGATTTCTCTAATTCACTGCATCAAGCAGGTGTCCCATGCAGGATTCATCTTGACTCAGTCCAAAGCTCCTTTTATTGCTGTAGATTTGCTGTGAGAGGCAAGAAGGACACAGACCACATGTAGGAAGAGCTGCTGGATGCCAGAAAAGAGAGAAAAACTTGAAGCAGAGAAGGAGGGAAAATGAGAAGCTCAGTAAAAGGTACATGGTTATAAGAACAGTGGATTTCTCTAGCCAGGAAGTTGAGGTTTCTGTTGGTGGTGAGGGTGGTGTCAGATAAGTGTGTGGGACTGCGTGGCGAGGGGAGCTCACATCTGGATACCGAGGAGAGCTTTACAATAAGGAGGAAATCGAAAGCTGTGATGGTGTTTTGGGAAGCACCAAATTAGAGCTGTTAGAAAGACCATGAGCAAGCTTGTTGCTTGAGCACCTATGCGTCAAGAAGAGGGTTTCCAGCAAAGTCTGGTGACACAGAGAAGAATGCTGGACTTCCCTAGGATAGCTGGGATACCCTGACTGGTCAAGTTCTAATCAAAGTATGTAACACTCATCCCAGTTTTTGCCTCTGGGGTTCCCTATGTCTGGGAAACACGTGATTATCAGTGGCTTATATAGCTATCTCCTTATTGCTCAAGTCTTTTTTTTGTTTTATCCTAGTCCTTGTCACCTGCCCTTCCCCCATTTTATCTCTTGATTTTTGCCTCCCTTTCTACTCTTTCTCAGCTATCCCAGTTCTTAGTATTCCTCAGCTTTCCAAGGAGATTGCCAAGAAGCTCCTTTCCCCTCTCCTCTTTCAGATCTTCTCCTTCATCCACCATAACAGAGTGTGTACTCAGGAGCGGAGCTTGCCGAGAAAGCTTCAGACCCACATTGTGTTTGTGACTCAAGTACCAGCTGCATCCTGCATCCCTGATCAGGATTAACTCTGCCCACAGGAACTGAGCTGAAGAAATGTGTGGCTCTGCTCCGCTCCTCTTTGCAGGCCTCTCCCTCTTTCCTCTCAGCCTTCTCTTTTCCTTTCTTCTCTTCTTTCTGGTTTCCCACTTCTCCTCCTTCTGCTTCCCTACCTACCCTCCTGCCTCCCCCCTCTTCCTCTCCTCCTCTTCTTTTCTTCCTCCTCTTTGATTCCTCCTCTTCATCCTGCATCTTTTTGTGTGCCTTGGTGTCTCTGACCATCTCCCAGCCCTTTAGTCCCAGAACTCCATTCCTCATTTAGTTTACTTCTCCTTCTCTTTCCTACCCAAACCCAAACCGTCTTATCACTTTCTCCACTTCACACACAACAGTTTAAGCACTGGTGGCTACATAATTTTCAGGGTCCAATGCAAAATGAAAATGTGGAGCCTTATACTTAAAAAGCTGAAAAAAATACTTTAAAAGTGAAGCTGAGTACCTGAGGGTTACTATAAATATTCGGTAAGATTACCTCTTGACCTTGTTCCCAACACAAACAAAGATGAAAAGAAGTTAATCTTGTCAATTTGCTGTTTCCTTGTTTAATCTGAGAGGTGTCTCAGGGGTCTTAAGGATTTAAGAGCTTGTATAACAGAAGAAAAATAATGCCTTCAAGGAAGTTATGATGACCAGATAAGCAAACCCTGGCTGCCTTTGATGCCCGGAAGCCAGACTGCCTAAGGGCCTATCTGGAGTGAAAGAAACATGGATTACCCCTTCATTTCTCTAAAACTCCTTCTGTCAAGACACTTAGGTCTTTAAAACCCCTTTCTTCTCTTTTTAAGGCAAATTTGGTAAAATTTATCCTCTAGCCTTCTTGTTTCAGCCAATTGGAGTAACTTTATCTCTAAGTACGCATGTCTCAGTGATTGGCTTATTGCACCTTGGGCGCAGGACATTGAGATTAAGATGCTCTGTATCAAAGGTACTACAACACAAAACTGATATCGACCCTGATATCAGTTTCCCCACACTAAACCCAGCATATATGGGGTTAAAACCAAAACACTCATTCCCTGCTTACTCTCTGGCTTCCTGGCTCCAGAATCCACTATGCTCCATGGAGACAGACACCATCAAGGACAAGCACCTGGACTATCTCCTCCCCACAAAGAGATACAGACTGGTGGGAAAGCTTCTGACCAGCAAGGTCATGAGCTCCCTCCTCTCTGCAAGTGTCTCAAGGCCAAAGACAGGCTGGTGGAAAAGTTCCGACCAGCAAGGCCATATGCTCCCCCTCCCCTACCTAAAACCCCAAATAAAAACCCTTCCTTTTAACTTTTTTGGGGAGTTTGGGATTTCAGCGTTAGCTGCCCTCTCTCCTTGCTCAGCGCTGTGCAAAAATAAAGTTCCTACTTTCTTCCACCATCCCTGGTGTCAGAGATCGGCTTGCTGCGCAATGGGTGAGCGAACTCGCTTCAGGTTCGGTAACAAAACTTTTTCTGTTCTTTTGATGTCTCTCTCTCTCTCTGGTTCAGGCTATCACGCTGTTTTGTTGTTATTATTTTGTTGTTGTTGTTGTCTTTTTGTTTTAATTTGCAAATGCTGCTCTCTCTCTGGCACAGTGACTCACAGGGAAAGTGAGGATCCTCTTAGGTGCCAGGGGAGCTCCTCTCCCCTTGCTTTTTGTGTGGGTTTAATAATTTTTGGTCAAAATGCAGACATTTTGTCTAGAATAATAGACACTGAGTTAAATAGTATTTTTTGGAAGGGGATCTGAAAATGTGTGTGCTATTTCTTTTGCTAAGTTTTGAGTGTGGGAGTTTGAATCAATCTAGTCAAGAGTTAACAGGGTTTGTGTTTTGTTGTTGTTTCAACAGCCTTCCAAGTCCTGTTTAATTACTTTGTTTGCAGGGTCGGGCTGTTTGTCACAGAGTTTTCTTAATGTCTGCTTCCCTCTCAGATTTTGGTGCGTCCTTTGTGCTATGCCTCAAGAAGAATTGTCTCCATCCTCTTGCTTCTCTTGCCGCAATGACATATCTTGTGATTTGATGCTTGCTAACCTACTTGGGAGAGAGTGTAGGGGCATTACTTTTGTTCTTCTTCAGTCTCACTCTCAGGCAGGTGTTTTGTTTTTTAGGTTGGGATTGGGCCTTTAAGAGTTCCTGCTTTTCTCTCAGCAGTATGGAAACTCTTGCAGCCTAGATAGGATGTTTTACTGTCCTTTCCCCAATTTTCCCCTTCCCCCAGCTGCCTTGCATCTTCACCTGTGCCCTGAAGGCAACAGGTCTTTCTGCCCCTCCCCCACCACATTAAGGCTTTTTTTTCTGTGTGGGAGATAGGGGAGAAAGATCTGGTAGGGACTTCCTGTCTTTTTCCTGCTTTAGATGCTCTCATATCTCAGGCTTGCACCATGAGAAAGGATTCCTCTGGTCTTTATCCTTGACTCCAACCTTTCAGGATGCCCTGGTGAGGTCTATGGGAAAAGCCTATTGATATAAGTGGATTTTCTGTGTCTGTGACTCTCAAGGTTTCTATACACTCCTGCTAGTTTAGTGTAATTTGTTAACAATTTTAGCTGAATTATTCTTACTGGCTTGTATAGCATCTGGCATCTGTCTGTCAGCAAGGGTTTGGATCCCATATTTCCTTGGAGAGTCTGTCTTTTCTTAGATTCAGGATTAATTGGTTGCCCTCATATTTCAGCTTTCTGATGGATTAAAAAAAATTGTGGTTTTGATTATCCAACTTTCTAAAATTATAAGTATGGGAGAGAAGCTTTCCAGTTTTCCATGTTCTAATCTTAACTTTCCAAAAAAAATATTTTTCTCTTAACTTAGCCTGATGCTTATTTCTATTTATTTGTTAACCAAGAAATAAAAAAAAATAAACAGCCTAAACACATTTATCCAGAGGATACAAAGCAAATACAAATATTTAAGAGCCTTTAAATAGTTATAAACATCATGAAAGAGGGTCAGCACATCTAGCAGAGACCAGCTTATAAGACAAGCATGGAACATCCAAACAGGACCAATAAGAAGGGAATCTTAGAAAATGACTCCAGAATAATTTATTAACTCCACTTCCCACAAATTCTCACTGATTTCTTATTATAATAGGAGATTTATAGCAGGACCCTCTGTATAAACTTTATGCTTATTAGCATGTGCTTCGATCCTAAATAAAACTGTAAAAGATTCTCATTTCACCAAGTAGGGTTACAAGTAATACTTTCTGATGTCTTAAAAAATGTTTACTGGGCCGGCCCTATGGCCAAGTGGTTAAGTTCACATGCTCTGCTTTGGCAGCCCAGGGTTTTGCCAGTTCAGATCCTGGTCATGGACCTAGCACTGCTCATCAAGACATGCTGAGGTAGCGTCCCATATGCCACTACTAAAAGGACCCATAACTCAAACATACAACTATGTACTGGAGGGCTTTTGGGAGAGGAAGGAAAAATTAAAAAAAATAACAAATCTAAAAAAAGCATGTTTATGTTGAACATCTTCATAACTTTTAAAAATAATTGGATGTCTGAACAAAATTCATTTGATCATTCAAAAATATTCATTGAGCACCTATCACTTGCCGAGCACTCTGTTAGATGTTGAGGATCCAGCACAATAGGGATATTGATACAACACCACAAACCAAGCACTAAAGTCAAGATTCTGAGTGGGCAAACATCAGTTAAGGGTCACCACTTTAGAAAATATTGTTTCAAGCATGCTTGTCTTTGTCTATACAGTATAAGAAAACTCAGCCCACCAAGATTTATAGTTCTTGGTTTAACTGTTTTTCTTCCCAAGTAGACTAAAGCCTCCTTGAATAAAGTGATCGCATTGTCAACCACAGTAGTCATGAGTGTAGCAAGATGCTTGGATCCAGCAGATGCTAAGCAACTGATGAGTGAATATATATCAATGAGAGTCAAACAGAGGGGTTTTTTCTTTATGTGTTTCACTGTTCTTGTGGTCTCTTGATGACTATTTGTTTTTCCCTAAGAATAGTGGAGTGGAGGGTTGCTGGTAATTTATATTGTTACACAGGGCAATCATAGGGATTCTGATAAAGCAAATAAAGCAATGAATGAGAAGTCAGAGATGTGAATGAGGTGTGGTGGGGTCGAGGCAGGGGAAGAGAATATTTGGGGAATATTCAAAAGGGCAAGAGAGGGACAGAGTGATAGTAAAGAGCAGGAGCTTGAGAAGATAAGCTAGGGTGCTGGAAGCCATTTAGTTTCATGCTTTTATTGTATGAATGAGAAAGAAAAAAGCCCATAGAGTTAAAACGACTGTGCGATGCCACACAAGGCTTGGTCCATAGTAATCAAATCAGGGGGAGGTGAGCAGGATGGAAGTTAGTGAGAAGGAGAGAAACTGGAAGCCAGAGAGGAGAGTCAGAACTTCAGGAGCAATGAGTCTGAGTAGGCAGTCCACAGAACTGGAGGGGAAGTGAGGTTCTGAGTAGGCGGTCCACAAAACTAAAGGGGAAATGAGAGTCTGAAAAGGTAGTTTAGGTTTTAAGGAAGGAATAGATCTTTTTGGCGGACAACGATTAATGGAAAGGTTTTTCTGCTCGTAGGAGAAGGAAGTCAGAATAGAGGTATTGTGGCGAACGTTTGTTTAGAGAAGAAATCAAAGACCAGCTTTTCTGAGAGAAAGAAAACATCAGCAAATAAAATGCTGTTCCTGCAATTTGCATTGCTAGTGGTTCTCCTCCCAGGTGGTGACAGTAAAGATGGTAAGAACTCTGGCTGCTGTCCAGTTGGATGCAAGAGGCACTGTGTGTGTGTGTGTGTGTGAAAGTGTGTCTGTTTTTATGTGTGTTTGTGTGTCTATATGTGGTGGATTTTCCCCAGCATATACCTGGAGAGTGAAAATGTCAGCCTTGTTTCATTCTGAGTGTCCCTGACCAGGTCTCTGTGCTCTTCTGAAAGTTGAATACAAAGCATGGGACTGTGGGGCAGGTAAATGTCTCCTGAGATAACTATGGCTCTCCTTTCCTGCATATTCTGACTTTCCCCTCTCTGGCATCTTTCTTTCTCCATTCTCTCTCCTTCCCAATGCCTTTTTTTCTCCTCATTTTATCTGTTCTTTTGACACAGACTTCCAGGAGCCAACCTCCTTCCGAGTTATCTACAGCTCATCCTTTTACAACCCTTCCCGGGTGCAAGCTCTGGGCTCAGCTTGGTTGGGTGAGTTGCAGACTCATGGGTGGGAGAACCACACTGGCAGTTTTATTTTCCTGAGGCCTTGGTCCAAGGGCAACTTCAGCAGTGAGGAGCTGACTGAAATCGAAAAGTTATTCCGAACGTTCAGCATTGAATTTAATCAGATATTTCACAACCATGCCAGTCAATGGCAGCTTGCATGTGAGTACAATTTCCTCCACGGGGAGTGGGGATATGGTTGGGAGGTGTGTATATTTCTCAATGAGTTTCTTATTCCTTTAAGAAACAGCCTCCACTAACTTCTGAACCTTACTTCCTTTCAACATAAAACTGAAATTACACACTTGTCAGCAGGGAGTATAATCTGGATCCTGATTCTTCAAAGTTTCAAGTCTTCTGTTACTTACAAACTCCTCTCTCATTGACTGCAAGCTTGTGCCTTATTCTCTTCCACTAGTGGTTTCTGTGACCACCCCTTTCCCTGGCATCCAACCAGATACCCGCAGCTTCCCCATTCTTTGACTGACTTCTTAAAGTGTGATTTTTCTCCCCCATTCTATCTCTCCAGCAGTCTCTGTCAATATATTCATTGTTACCTGTTGCATTCCATTCACACTAGATTATTATAATGTCACCTCTCTCACACTGAGTCCTACCTTCTTCTTTGCTCAGACCATTCATGTTGGCTTCTTTGAACATTATGCCCCATTCCTCTTGTTATTCATCTCTTCCTCCGTCTTCAACTACCACCAATTCCTCTTTTACTGAATTTCTGATTAAAACAAACTTTGCCCCATTCCCTTAAATCTCCTAAACTTCTCCCTTCTGTTTCTACTGTCTTTTGCTTCCATTCATTTCATTTTATCCTTTTTACTTCCTCTTTCATCTAATTCACAACCTCTCTTCCCCAGATCCCTTTCAGGTACAGCTAGCAATGGGCTGTGAGCTTCACATTGGTGAAGCCTCAGTAGGGTTCGCACGGATTGCTTATCAAGGATCAGATTTAATAAGCATCCAGAATAATTCATGGTTACCATCTCCAAAGGGTGGAAGTAGGGCTCAGCAAGTCTCCGGACGATTCAATTTGAATAAAGTCTTCCTGGAAACATGGCACAGGCTCCTCACTGACACCTGCCCACGTTTCCTCTTGGGTCTTCTTGACGCAGGGAAAGCAGATCTCCAGCGACAAGGTCAGTTTTCCACCCTTTTTCCAAGACTTCTCCACTCTGAAATCACACCTTCTCATTATCTCCTTCCCATCTTCCTAAGAATTAGCCACGAGGGAGAGGGAATAATGGGTGACAGATTCTTAGGTGCAGGAAAGATATGTCTATCTAAACTGATGTGAAGATCTGAACCTCTAAGTCTGTGTTAGAGTCCTCATCTGAATATCTTTCCTGTCCTCTGCAGCAAGGCCAGAAGCCTGGCTGTCCACTGGCCCTAGTCCTGCTCCAGGCCATCTGATGCTGGTTTGTCACGTCTCTAGCTTCTACCCAAAGCCTATTTGGGTGATGTGGATGCGGGGTAAGAAAGAGCAACAGGGCACTCAGCAAAGTGACATCTTGCCCAATGCTGATGGGACATGGTATCTTAGGAAGTCCTTGGATGTGGAAGCCATTGAGGCAGATGGCCTCTCTTGCCGGGTGAGACACAGCAGTCTAGAAGACCAGGACATCATCCTTTATTGGGGTAAGAAAGAACTGTGACCCAAGCTGGGGATGGGAGTAGGTGGTCCTCAAGCAAAGCAGGACAGTCAGATGAAAAATTTGGGATTCTAGGGGCTTCAGACCCAAAAGGAATAAAAATAAGTAATTCAAGTAATAGGAGAGTTGAAAAGGAGGGACCCTGCGGATGTAGGAGGACACTGAGTGTTAGATGATGGATTCATCTTGAAGAGGGATGAGAGAAGAAATAGGAAAAAAGGACATTGGTGAAGCAGCCATTCAAATGAACAAAGGAAGACCAGGGAAATGCAGTAAAATGGGGTGGATTTGAAATGACCCCTTTGTGTGCACCCAAATCCACAGAACATCGCAGCTCCACGGGCTGGATCTTCTTGGCAGTGATAGTGCCCCTGGTGCTTCTGACAGTGCTTGCGTTTTGGCTTAGGAAGCGCTGGTGAGTTCTTTATATCCATTTTCCTGCTCTTTTCCCCACTCCCCATTTCTCTTGCCATCTTTTTTATTTTCTCTTTCCTCAGTTCTCCTCCTCCCAGTCCCCTTCCTTCTTACTCCTCACTTCTCACCTCTGCCTCATGTAAAGTGACTTCCATATCTGTTCTTTTCAGGACACGTTGTGAACCTCCAAGCAATCTTATCTCTTTGGAATGAGATGCCAGAAGCCCAGGATGTATCTAGACCCAATACCATGATGCTGTTCCTTCAACTCTTCTTATATGACCTTTTTCGTTGTTGTTTATTTCTGCTTAATAGTCAGTTGTTAATATAAGCTAAATGTAGTTTTGTAAGACTTTTTGTTCTGACTCTGGTTCTGTGAATTTAAAAATCCAATTATAACTCTAACTGGATGATGTCTTAGCAAACTCCACATATTTAAATATTAGTGGGTCATTGGGCCCATTTCAGTTGTCACCTTTTCTAAATGGCCTTCCCTGATTCACACGTTGAAGCTGTCTTTGCCTTGTCTGAACTCCCAGTGCACTTGAACTGTACTTTGCCAAATCTATCCCTCACTTCCTGCCCTTTGATGCAGCTATTTAGATCCCTTTTCCCCTTATAATTTTTAAGCTTCTCAATAGCAAAGTCCTCATCTTTTGAATATTTGTATCCTTGGCAAAGTGTCTTTGCATGTAATATGTTCTTAATAAAAACTTGTGTTGAATTTATGTTAAATTTCTACTCTTTTCCTGTTCCTTTCCTTCTGGACATGTAGTAGTTGAGACATTTGATGCTTTTCTTGTTAAAAGTCTTCTCACTTGGCCAAGAGACTCATACTTTCCTAGTTCCTTAGTGACTTCTCTGAGCCCCTGAGGAGAAACACAATGTTGCCTCTGACTATTCTTATTATTGAATTATAGAGACATATTGGAGTGAAACTATTGCTCCAAGTATTCTAAACAAAATGAGTAAGGCAGGATGTAGGCCCTTGCTATTCACTGTGATTCAAGGACACGCAGCAGAGGTATCACCTTGGAGATTGTTGGAAATACAGAATCTTGGATCTCAGACTTACTGCATCATAATTTGCATTTATCAAAATCAGCAGAGGATTCATAGGTGCATTAAAATTTGGAAACCACCCATATAGATGATACCTGAGAAGTAGTAGTGCAAGTGTGTCACTGAGGAGAAAGGAAGATGGCCAAGAAAAGAGAACAAGAGTGTTGATCCTCAGGACTGAAGTGAGATAAAGGCAAGGACAGAACATACAGTACATTGTTGCTATTCATGGCTGTTGTGTTAGTCATTGAGAACATTGAGTTAGTGAATATTGAGCCATTGCTCCCAAGAGAAATACAAGGTTAGGTTCCTGTGAGCCTTTGATCACATTTGTGTCAACTGATGAATATATAGCTTTTTTTTAATGCATATTTCTGTTTAAAACCACTTTATTTAATATGCATACATTTCCAGATAATTTATGTATCATATGCAGTATTCTTTTATAATAAAATACCAACCAATAAGTGTTTGACATTTCCCCAGCCTTGGTAACATGATGGTAAATTTTTTGGGTTTCTTCCACACAGTTTTGCTGTCCACTACATTTTAAAAATAAACACACAAACAAACAAAACTGTCACCATCTCATCAATCCATAAATATAGCTCCTTTCCCATTTTTATACAGCTTTACCATAGCATTATAGATATTACCTTAGTGTTCTCTGGAGTGGCTCCACATAGAGATCAGCAAATTTCCTCTCCCTTATTCTGGAATTACTGCATTGTTGATTCATTAACACTGAAGGCATGACCCACAACCCTATAACTCATGCGTAAACAAAGTTGATCTGCACGTGCATCTTCTCTGTAAGGCATCTCACTGCTTTCTTGTGTCTAGGAACACTAAAGAGAACTTCAGCAGTATGCTTCAAAGCCATTTTTAGTAGCAATACCACAAGCCAAGAGCACAAAAATGTTGAAAATATGGCATTAAGTAGACCATGAAAAAGACACTTGTTTACAGTGGGAGAATTGAAACAAGAAGGCAGAGTGCCACCTTATTCGACCCCAGTTGTAAATGTGTCAGGTTGGTAACAAACTTTGCACTACTCTGCACATGTATATGAATGAACAGTTAGGCTAATTAGCAAATACAGAATTCTTGAATAATGAAAGTCGACTCTTTAGGACTAATGATCCCTAATTGCAATTTGAGTTGAGATATCCATGGCTAGACCGCAATTACTCTAGGATTCATTAATTAATTCAACAAATACTTCTTAAGCACTTACTATGCAGCACGGACTTATGGAGTATAAAGTAGTCAGTGAGAGAAAGATATCACCATCTTCTGAGCTTAAAAATTTTGCTTTCCTAATTTGGCTCTACGGCGTACTGTTTTCATTGTTGGTTCTTTCTTTGTTTCTTAGTATAGCAACTTATTTGGAAAGACACTTAGAAGAAAGACACTTGAGGAAAGACACTTAACTCCAAATTGTTTAGGGAGCTGAGAAAGAGGGCCCAGGGCAAGGAGAACATCCCAAGGGACCAAGGGCAGGTAGCAGCAGCTGCACATGTGGAAATTTTTGTAAAATGAAAAAAAAAGGATAATGGAGATGGGGAGAAAGGTGAAAACTATGAGATGAGGGAGAGCAAACAGTGGGACTGCTGCAAACTTCCTATCTGGATTAGACTGGTTGATTGTTTCTCTAGACTACAATCTACTTTGTCACCCTTGCGTAGCAGCCATGTGATTTTGGTAGCTTGACTCTATCCTCATCTGTAGTCTTGGACTCTGATCAGCCTAAGGCAATCATGAGAAAGCATCCTTGAAGATGTGATAGGCTAAAGGATGGACAGGTAACCTATAATTGAAGCCAAATCATCATATAGATCCCACTTATCCTTGCTCGGAGTGATGGCTCTGGGTTAGGCATCTCCTCTAAGGTGGCACAGTTGATATGAAGCCTGATTCTTGTGTTTGATCATAGGAGAGAGATGCTTTCTCTTGTCCTGGATGTTATGGTGCTGAGTATAAACCATGAAATGCCATGGCAGTGACAGTTAAATAATCCAAACGCAAGACATTTTCTGTGAATTTCCGCTGGATATATAAGTTTGTTCATTCGTTCATTCATTCATTGGTCACACATTCAGTGTTTCTTATTTGTATGGTAAACACATTCATTGAGATTGGCTGCACAGTGTATGAGAAGCAGCTTTGTCCCCAGGTATTTAGAATATAATGAATAATCTCTTCCTCCAAGCTGGTTTCTTTTTTATTGTGAGGAAGATGAGCCGTGAAATTACATCTCCCTCCAATCCTCCTCTTTTTGCTGAGGAAGAGTGGTCCTGACCTAACATCTGTGACCATCTTCCTCTATTTTACATGTGAGATGCCTGCCACAGCATGGCTTGATAAAGCAGTGTGTAAGTCTGCACCTGAGATCTGAACCAGTGAAACCCCGGGGCTCAAGCAGAGCGTGCAAACTTAACTGTTATGCCGTGAGGCAGGCCCCAAGCTCATTCGTTTTTTTGATGTCTGTATTTAATCACCTGGAGTCAAACTTCAGCGATCTTTGCAGACTTTCTTTCCCAGCTTTTCTGTTTCCTTTCTTATTCTCTATAAAATCTGTAAATTTTTTTCTTCCTTTTTCCTAATAGTAGGTTTAACAATCTCATCACAGGATAAATACAGAGCTTTCCTCTCTCTTAATATGCATTCTTATTAGTTTCCTAAACAAACACTCTGCCTCAGCCATAGTCGGGTCCTGTTTAGGGAACAGAAGTTTCTCCTACTGAGAATCTCCTTAAGAAAGGCTTGAGACCCTAGTATAAAATTTGAGGCAGATTTGTAATTGGACTGGGAAGAAAACAGAAGTTGAAACATAAGCTTCGTGGGATTTCACAGTTGGAAGGCGTTGCCTCTATTGTCAGAATTAGTAGGCAGACTGGGGAAGTGGTAAGTGGATTGATGACAAAGCCACTCCACTTGTGAGAACATGTAAGGCGCTGGGTATTGTGCCCACCCACCTGCGTCCTATCTCCTGATTATTTGATATAAAAGAAACCTGATCAAGTTGAAAGATGATAATTTTTAAAATATGAAATTATGTTGAATGATAAAAGGATGTAACTATGTAGTTGATGTTTTTCTAATTTATTAATTAGATTTTAATTTTGTTCTAAACTTTTTAATGGCATCTAAGAGATTTTTTTTAAAGGAAATCCAGACATATGATCAGATGACTATAGTCAGCTTTGTAAACGAGAAAGAATTTAACACATCATTCATCACCACATTTATAAATATTTATATTTACTATTTATAATAATTTAATTCTGAATTCTTTAATTATTATTTTAAATAGTTGTGATGATCTTTGAAAAGATCCTTTTCTTATTTGCATACGAGAAGACGTTTAACCGATGAAGTCTACATCAAGCTGGGAGTACAGGAAATTTCTCAGTTCTAGCAAGAAGGATTAAAAGAGAACTTATGAGTGCAGGGATGCACAATTCCAGCAAAAACCAAGGGAAGGGAAATTTCTTCTTAAAAGAGATCTGGCTACGCCTACACACAAACCTATGTTCATCACAGGCAGGAGTAAGAGTTTAGGAGGAATTGTAGAAAGAATAAAGGGAAAAACAATTTATAGCACATAACAAGAATATTAATATTAGCTATTTTGGCTTTGAAATTCATTTTCTGTATGATGTTAGTTTTGGGGCTAGAAACACTCATTGGGGAATTTGATGATTGATGTGGTCTGTAAGTTTCAGAAATGATTTATTTACACCTTGTTCAATTTTCTGTGGTGAATTGCAAATTCAGTACCTCAGTATTTAAAATGGCAAGCAGACATGGACTGTGAACAAAGTGTGTATCTGCACTGACATTTGTGCTTTCTGCTTTTGTTTAATTTTAATTATCCTGATTTTTTTAAACAATGGTCACTAAGGATTAGTTTTTACAATCTTCTTACTATGCATTGCTTTTACATAGGTGAGCTTGTCTTCTCTTCTTCTGGTTCATAAATGATTCTAAAGAGACGTGTAGAGGGAAGTTTATAGCATTGATTTGTAAAGAAGACAGACACAAAACACATAAGATTTTAATTGAGAAAGCTAAAAAACAACAACAAAATCAATGAAAATTTAGAAGGTAGAAAATTAATTTAAGAGCAGTAAAAGTCAAAATAAAAAGCAAAACAAAAAATTGATAAAGGTGACCGACAACACTAAAGGCTGGAATTTTTTTTAACCTCAAATTTTTTATTATTGTTTATTTTTGTGTGTGTGTGTGAGGAAGATTGGCCCTGAGCTAAGATATGCGCCAACCTTCCTCTATTTTGTATCTGGGATGCCACCACAGCATGGCTTGATGAGTGGTGTGTAGGTCTGTGCCCAGGATCCAAATCCTCGAAACCCAGGCCACCAACGCAGAGTGCATGAACTTAACCACTATGCCACCAGGCCAGGCCATAGAGGCTGACTTTGAGAAAACTAATAAAAATATAAAAACCTCTCTCAGAACGGATCAAAAGTGTATATTATTAGAAAAGTAGACATATTACTGATAAGCAATGTACAGATGAAAATAAGAAAATGTTATATATAATTAACATAAACAGATTTGTTAAAAATAAAATTTTATTTAAAAAATCCTAGGAGAAGGAGAAAATGTGAATATATAAGTAATTGTTAAGGAAAATGAACAATTACTCAGTTTCTGGTTGCGTAATTTCCTAGGTACAGACTACACTGAGGAGCAGATAATCATATTTCACATACATTGTTCCAGGTAGAGAAACAGAAGGAAAATAATGTCAACTATCTTTATGAGGCAAAATTTTGATGACACCAGAGCCAGTAGAAAATCCTCCAGAAAAAAAACAAAGATTAAAATAGCAATTATCAACTAATCTCATTTATGCATATTTACTCAGAAATTATGTGTATAGACTCAAATAAAACATTTACAAAAAAAACCCAGCACCCAATTAAATGGGATTTGTCCATAAAAAAAAATCCATAAGAGGATTGTTTACCATTAAAATCTCTTAATAAAATCACTTACTTCAACAGATTAGTGCAATAAAATCATATAATCATCTCCAGAGTTACAGAAAAATCATTTCTATATTTAAATGTTTATTCTTATAAAATACTATCAACTCAGGAAAGAAAGAAACTCCCTCTGTATGATCAAATGTAGCAGCAAACAACCTCCATGAGATGGGTTTAATTTTGAAGCTTTAAAGCATTCAAGTGAAAATCCAGAACCAGATGTCTGCCTGTTACAGTCAGCACTATTCATTAGCACACTAAAGTCTTAGTTGAGCTAGTAAAGCTAGAAAAATAAGGAGGTATGAAAATAGATATTAAAGAAAAAATATCATTATTTGCAGCTTATATGATTCTATATGAGGAAATTAGAAATTAGCAAAATATTGGAAGTAACAGAAGAGCTCATACGTTATCTAGTTATAAATTTAACATAGAAATAAAACTGAAAAGATTTCAAAGGAATAGGTTTTTTTTCAAATGATATAATTTCTACATAGAAAACTAATAGAATAAAAAGTGAACCATCAAACTACCATGAAAATTCACCAAGTTATCTAGCCACAAACTAAATATGAAAATAATCAATGCTTTTTTATATAAGCAACAAAGAAATAAAAGAAAATAAGATACCATTTATAATGGCAACAGAATCTATAAAATAGCTAAACACAGCTGAAGAAAGGATATACAAGAACTGTACAGAGAAGTTCTAAATACTATTAAAGATCAAGAAAGTATTTCTGATGAACTGGAATTGTGTGGAAAGAGTTGTTACAAAAAAATAAAAAAATAATCTATAATTTCCATAAATTCCTAATTGAAATTCCAGCTGGATTTCGGAGGTACCTCGTAAACTAACTTTTTACATTATGTGGAAGAATAAATGACTACAAATATCTGAATAATTTTTGAAAGACACAAGCAAAGGTTTATTCACAATAGAATAAGTCTTAAACGCAAAAAATAATACAAAGTTTACAGCATATGATACTTCAGAATATCTTTATGACCTATTAGTGGGGGATTATTTCTTAAACTAAATTCTCAAATTTGAAACTCTATAGCCTTGGGGAGAAATGGCCTATGGTTAGACTTTACCCCCAGCTTCCATGCTCCCATACACAGTTCCAGTTACATGTGGGCCCCTGAGTGTTCTGGTGCCCCTTGCTTCTGGCCTTGACCCCTAAGGACTTGGCCCTTCCTAGGTGCTTGTAACTAAGTCTGTTCCTGCAGGGACCGGAGTCCTGGGTTCTCTATTCCTTAGAGGACAAGAGTGGGTATGTTCAAGTAGGTGGGCAGCATAGACTGTTCCACTGTCTTGCATATCGTTTCTTCTGAACCACAAACTGTATAAAATTGAAAAAAAGAATAATAAAATTAAATTAACTAAGAGTAAAATTTGTTGAATTGTGCTTTATAAAATTAAGGCTTTCTCTTCAATAAAGTATGCACTGAACAAAATTAATGGGTGAAAAATTGAGAGAAGTATTTGAAATTCTAAAAATAAAATATATATGTATTGTGTACATACACACCAAGTAATATGGAAGGCCTTTAAAAGTGTGCTGAATGAAATGCATTAATAAATGAAGCATACATATAATATATTTTGTTGAAATTAAAGTTGTATCTAACTCATGGTAATTAGAGAAATGAAAATTAAGAGATCTCATTTTAAATCACCAACTTGGCAACATCAGAAAGCTGCAGAAGCCCAGTGTTTGCAGGGAAGTGGGATAGGTGGCAATCTCCATGCGTTGTTGGTGATGAAGTAATTCTGGAGTTTGCGGCAGTATCTTGTTTATCTTGCAATCTCACTTCCGAATATTCATAATAGGAAATGTTTACCCAGTTCCAGAGGGAACATATATAAAAGTGTTTATGACAGTGTTTTCATGGTAGTGAGGTGTGGGAAGCATGCTAGATGTCCATCCCTACGGCAAGCTATAAGTAAACACAATAGATGCCCACTATGGGATTCTGTGCGGCAGGTAGAAATAACAGACTAGACACAGAGCAATGTGGAAGGTCTTAAAAGAGTGCTGAATTAAATACTTTAATATATAAAGCATATAGTATAATAATACCTTTTATGGAAATTAAAGTTGTACACATCAAACAACATCACATTGTATAAGAACACATACAAACAGAAGAATAACACAGTAATGTTTTAGAATGTGGTGAAGAGAAAGAAATAGGGATAAATAAATAAATCCAACAGTTTACAGATGAGGTCTGCTCAGACCAAATGATATCCATGAGATTTTAAATTAAGAATTAGTAGTCGGCAACCTGCATTTATGATTCCAAAGGCAAAACACAAAACAACAAAGCAAGATCGAAAAGTGTATAATGATACTCTATGGAATAGAGATTGTATTGGGATAATGGGTTGCACCAAGGTTGTACCTTCTCTGGGAAAAACCATAAAACTATTTAATATTGTATAAAATACTTATACCTCTAAGCACAGAATCAAAATATCTACAACACGAAAACTTCCTAGTTGAAGTCTCAGGACTTTTGTAATTACCAGAAGGTACAGATTGAGATAAATATCTACATTTTGTTGCTGGGTGGCAGTAGAGATTAAAACAAAGTTTCAGCATTCTAGTTATTATTAAAAGTTTAGAAGTTCCTCAGATCATCAAGGAGCTTACAAAGCCACGCTTATATTCGCAACAACTTATTAGCTCTAAAAATAACTGAAAATTACTTACAAAAATATGTACATAAAATTTAAAATATATCGGGGCTGGCCCCATGGTCTAGTGGTTGAGTCCAGCACACTCTGCCTCAGCGCCCTGAGTTTGCAGGCACGGATCCTGGGCGTGGACCTACACCACTCATCAAGTCACGCTGTGGCCATGACCCACATAAGAAATAGAGGAAGATTGGTACAGATGTTAGCTCAGAGCTAATCTTCCTCCAGCAAGAAAAGAGGTAGGGGTGGTGAAGTTCGTGCTCTCTCCCTTGGCTGCCTGGGTGTTACAGGCTCTTAACATCAGCCCTGATATCAGTTCCCCCACATTGAACCCAGTGTATATGGGGTTAAAACTAAAACCCACCACCCCCTTTCCTGCTTCTCTAGCACCACTCATATGTAAATACCTGTTTTTTTAAACTTAAACTCCTTGAGCTTTACAACTAAATGGGAGTTACAAATTGTAAAAAGCCCAGGTGGCCTGGAGTTGGAGGCACACTAAAGTTTAGCTAATCATGTGTCCTTGACTTTGCCAGGAAAGCCGCTGTCTCAAGAATATCAAGGAACGGAGGCTTCCCAGACCTCAACTCCTCACTCCTGGTGCTCGAACCCACCTCAAACAGGAAGACGAGACAAGAGACAATGGCGAAGGACGCCCACCTGCCATCCTCCTATCTCACCCTCTCCCTGCCTTGCTGCAAGCAGCCTCTCAAGGCCAAACGCAGGCTGGTGGGAAAACACCAGCCTGCACAGCTACATGCACCCCCTCCCCTACCCAAAACCCCCAATAAAATTCCCTACCCATTCCTCATCGGGGAGCTAGCAATTTTTGAGGCATGAGCCCTTGCTTTGCTCCCTGTGCCTGGCATAGTAAAAACCTTTCCTCTTCCACTTAAGACTCTGTTCTCGTTATTTGGATTGGCATCGGGTTCAGAGACCGAAATTTCGGTTACATGGGGTTTGTGGGTTCGGATCCAAGGTGCGGACTTGGCACCACTCATCAAGCCATACTATGGCAGCATTCCACACAAAATACAGGAAGATTAGCACAGATGTTAGCTCAGGGGTGATCTTCCTTACCAAAAAAATTAAATAAATAAAAATATCAATAATAATATAGGAATAGAACCAAAGAGAGTATATGGCTGGAAAATTTGATGAAGCCAAGAATGAAGTAAATTTTAAAAGGTGTCAAAATATCCTATACATTGGTTATATATGGGTTGCAAATTATTAGAGGACTCTGCGATGATTAAGACAAGATGCATTACATATTCACAGTGTCTAGAAGACATAGACAAATAAAATGTTCAGGAAAGGTATATCCACTCCTGGTCCTGAGGCCACAAAGAAAATTGGCCCATCATTTCTCATAAAGAGGAAACTATTTGGTTCAGTGAACAATAGTGTCAGGAAAGTTCATTCAATAAGTTTTATGATTTGCATAGGCCTTTTTTAAATTAATTATTTTTAATTTTTTAAAAAATATTTATTGAGGTCTTATTGGCTTATAACATTGTGTAAATTTCAGATGTACATTATTATGTTTGAGTTTCTGTATAGACCACTATGTTCACCAATAATCTTGTTTTATCTGTCACCATACATATGTGCTCCTTTGCCCCTTCACTCTTTCCCCAGGTTTGTTTACATCTCTTAAGGTGATTATATCTGCCTAACACAAAAAATGAGGAAAATAACTCTTCACAATGCAACATGATCTCATTAGTGTGCAGCTCTCTGATGTTCTGGAAAACTCAAGGGGAGATTTTACATTATCTATAGGAATGAACAGACTCTGTTTCCCATAAATATTGTATATGTTGATCTAAAATAATTATTTTTGAGCAGCAGCAACTTTCAGCTTATGTATTCTAACATACTCCTTATGTGCAACAATTTTATATTATCTGGTAAATGCAGAGCAGTAACTTTAGTCATCTGTTGAGCTGTGGTTGGAACTGGCAATTGGAAATTTCATGTGGCTTTTGGAGATCTACTCAAGAACTCTTGCCTGAATCTCAGATGTGCTCCCGGGAGGATAACACCCATAGAGAGTACCAAGATTCTTCTCAAGATACCATTTTGGTTCTGTTCTTTGACAGTCACTTGTTAGCCTAACTACAACTCTTTCCATCCCCAGTGCATAACCAATTCTACCTCAGAGAGAATGTCAGATGTGACTTTAGACATGAAAATATTCTAAAACAAGTATGAGCCTTAATTCGTGTGTAAAGAGTCCTGAGAAAAGCACATATGGTTTTTGAGCTTTGAATAATTTTATTTCTATGTTACCTATTCAAATGAAACTGGCCCCCAACTACACATTGACATACCTAAATGGATAGATGAATTGCCAAATGTGATTTACATCTGGTTGTCTCCCAGAATCTACTTTCTACTTCCTCTAGAAAAAATCAACGCCCTGATTATTAGTTGGGTAGAATAAAAGCTGTATCTCTTAGTTACTCTTTTAGCTGGTTGTGGCTATGTGACTGCAGTTGACCAACGGAGTGTTCAAGTTCTGCAAAGTAGATCTGAAGCAGTGGGAGGTGGGTGTGTTCAGCTTCCTCCTTTCTCCTCATCACTGGATAAAAGGTGGGTTTGATGAAAAGATCTCTGGCAGCCATCTCAGAGTATGGGATGACCTTCAGAATGAGGACCAAGCATGGTGAAGACCACAACGAAACAAATAAAGTAAAACAAAAAAATCCAGAAAAAAATCCACACAAAAGACGAAACTGGGAACCAAGTCCCTGAGCAATAGAATGCCAGAACAACCCTGAATTGCCTACTTCCAGTCTCTTCACAAGACAGAGACTATATATATAACCACAGAGAATATAACCACATCTTGTTAAAGATATTGTTTGTTTGAATTTTCTGACACCTGCAGCTAAACTTGGTCCTAATGAATCCAGGATGTTGGCTTACTATCAACTAAAGGTTGACAGCTTTGGTTCATGAAATGTTTCCCGGTAGCTCTTTATTATTCTCCTTGTAATGACCTATATGGATTATTTATTGTTTGCTAAGGCTAAATCAAGTTTTTGACAATGACATCTATGTTATTTTTCTAAGTTCATTTTTGTCTTGTCATTGTGTTATCATTATAATTTGTTTGCAGACGTATAGTTTTTAAGGCAAGGGAGAAAAATGCAGCCAGTTTTTCCAAAATTTATGTGAAACATTAGAATCAGAGTGAACTTCTGGACAAATGGTACGGTTAAATATTTTATAACTCATGTCACGGTGATAAATCCAAAGGAGAAAATGTAACTTCATCTATATTGAATTGAGGGAAAAGTTGTAACTTAAAACAAAAACCAAGGAAGTTATAACCAAAGTTGGCGTAAATTTTTGCATACATTTTAACTAATTTTGATAAGATGAAAGATTGATGTCTGTAGTTTAGGAGAATTTAATTCAGGAGACAATTAACAAAGGGACTACTGAGGCCTTTGTTAGAAGACAACTATGGAGAAAAAACTATTGTGGAAATAGAAGATAAATTAATGCGTGAGAATGTTTTGGTAGGGCCAAAGCAAACAGCCTTTAGTAATGAGCTTTAGAAATTAGGACATGATCACATGAGTTTTGACCTTGTTGTTGTGTATTGCCCTATATGGTTCAACGTAA